AAGATTATGTTTTAGGTTTGATCTTAGTATAAATTTTTTATTCAGCGTTTGTATCTATCCCTTGAGAACAATGTGTCTCTAAAGGACGGAGTAATCTGAGAGTCCTACTAGGGATAGTTTGAGAATATTATTAGTATATTAGTGAGAGGTATTATGGTAATTAGTTAGGGATAAGTTAGATATAAATATTAAATAGAGGTAGTAGGGGGAGAAGGAGGGGATCTTGGAGAATAGCTTAAGGAGAATTTAGCATAGTTCTTAGGAAAAAGATAGCCCTTTTGAAAGGATATTAATATTGTAACATCTCAATGATATTACAATATAATTATCTTGTTACTTTCTTGTAATCGGGATCCTAACAAAAATACATCTCTCAAGGTTTTAATTCTTTTGTTGCTTGTGTACAATTTTTATGGGAAGCTGATAGTTCTAGGACCCAATTCCTGAAACCATTTGGCTTCGAATTCTAACTCATATCAAAGTGGGTTTCCTCGTCTATATAGACTTCCCTAAAACCATAATAATTTAATTCTCATCTTAATACTTATGATCCTTAGTTCACTAAGCTTTTTCATCTTTTTCATCTCAAACGGCTCGTATTAATGACTTAAACCTGACTCTTATTGTCAATAAGAATATGATACAACAGTCCCAGCAGATTCCTCTCTTGTAAATCTTCTTAGCAGCATCAAAGAGCCATCTCTTGTGCAACATTCTTTTCTTTCTTTACACTTGTTTTGATTTACACGTGTATTGAAATTCATATTTTCTTTTTCAACAGTGAATTGAGAACTTTCCGTTAAATATATAAAAAGTACGGTTTGAACAAAAACACCTCCCACACCCTAAGAAGTTAAAAGAAACTACTCCATGAGGAACTAATTACAAAAGATGAGTAGTTAAGAACCTTGGAAATTTATATTTCACAGGACACTTACATTATCTATTCAGTTTCATTAACCACGCCTAATGTCCATATTGCAAGACATCACCTTACTTTCAGAATGTCCCGTATATGCCAAATATAATAGAAAATTGAAAAATGAAATACCACATAATACCTAAATCCCAGCAGAAGGATGCACAGAATTTAAATGCATATAATGGGAACTCATACTTACAACTGTAATAGCCTTCACACGTTCTGATATTTTATCCACAAACGAAGAATAAATGGTCTTGTGGACATAAAATCTCTCTGCTCCAGTACAATTATGTCCACTTGATGTAATAGAAGCCCTGAGAGCAACGTTTACAACCTATATTAAGTGAAGAAACTCCCATCAGTTCTCAATGAAATGAAATCACTCTGATCTAATAGAGCTAGCTACTCGTATTAAAGAAAGATTGAAGAATATTCATACGTGATCCAAATCTACATCCTCGCACACAATAAATGCATCCTTTCCACCCAACTCAAGAGTAACTGGAATAAGTGTCTCGGCAGCAGTTTTCATTATCTGCAAGGAGTCGTGCCAATATGTAACACATAATATAGCGGTGGGTGCTAGAAAACAAGTGATTTTTTCCCTGTCTTTTCTATTTAAAAAGATCATAAAAGCCAAACTGTGAAATGTGTATCAACTAATATTGAAGGGGAAGCAACAAATGGACTTCCGAGCATTAAATGCTGGAAATTGAGCAAATGAATTAGTCTATGTTTACTAATAAATAAAGGAAGTCATTCTTTATTATCCACCTTTTCATTGTTTACTAAACTAGGAAGAGAATGGAGAAAGAATCCGTATGGACTTGACACATTCTTCGGTTGACCATGTTTGATGGGTACCAGCAGTTTTTTCTTTACATTTCTCTTTATTTACTTTTAAGCCTCACAAAAATTCAAATTTAATACTCATTCTTAGTAAACAATATAATCAGTCATCTTCTTCATTTGAAACTTGATTGTAAAATAGTCATAATAACAAAATAATAGAAAATTTAGCTATCGTCCCCAAAACTTTTAATCCAGTGGATTTTTATTCTGCTTAACCTCCAAACTCGTTCCCTATTATGACATGTGGCCTCAGGGCATTGATTGCTTTCATGATATATTTGGAAGACCCAATAATTCTATCAATAAATGACAAGAACCAAACAAATATAGGAGTATAAGAATATAATATTCCAGACCAAAAATAGTTCATACCATCCTACCAACACCAGTAGATCCAACGAATATCATTTTGTCTACAGAAGATACTAAGGCCTCACCTGTTTCAGCAAACCTGATAAAAGATCATATTAGAGCTGGCAAATGAACAACCTAGTGTATATGGTTAGAAATGGAAAATTAAAATGTGTACCCAGTTATCACATCGACCAAACTCTCAGGAGCTCCAACGGCAGCAAGTGCAGCTTGGATAATCCTAACGTAGAAGCATCCAGACCAACTTGCATGTTCTGAAACCTAATATTTCAATAAATTGAATGACGTTAAAACAAATCCAGTGCAAAACAAAATTGTTTCATCAAAGAAGAGGGTGACAAAAATCAATGAAACTGCACCTTTACAAATCCCTTATTTAAAGCTTTTTTTCCCTCCACAAAGAAAGCTCTTCAATGTTGAAATTTCTTTTTTAAGAATATGCATACTAATGATGCATACATCTAAAGAGCAGCTAGGGCACATGTAATAATAGGTTGAGTGGGACAGTAGTGCATATGAAATTTGCAGCAAGTAGTTGCTGACGGAGCATAGCAAGAAAAAAACTTATATCAAGATAGCTAAAAGGAAACCTTTCAACTTTAATACCTTAACTACAATGCCGTTTCCTGCAAAGACTGCTGCAAGCACTGGATTGAAAATGTTATGGAATGGATAGTTCCACGGGACTATTGCACCAATAACTCCAAGGGGATGAAATTCCACTCGGGCTTTCTTGTGTATCGTTGCCCTTCCACATGATCTGCAAATTGAAATAGGTCAATATATCTAATGCATAATGAATTTAATCAACCAGAAAGTTAAGCTCTTTATATCTTAATCAAAATATAAAACAAATCCAACATAAGTAGGGTCAATAGCATTTCCAAAGTAACAAGTTGCATGTCCAGAGGGAATGCCTTAAAGATGCTAGGTTATTAGTATTCAAGAGCAACAGAGAAACGACTAGATGTATGAGCCACTATGGTGGTCCAAGAAAAGAAAGAAATAATTAATTACTGGGAAGAAAAGGTTTAGAAATTGTGATGTAATATGTCTTCGTGAGTAAGGAATGTTATTGGCAGCAGCACCAAATTTTAAAGAGGAAAAAAAATGAAGAATAATAAATTGAGATAATCAATATCATAGTACCAAAAGGGTAGGAGGAAAGAGAGATACCGCATCTCAGGCTTCAGCCATTTCTCACCCTCTGAAAGAAGCCAAGTAATCTTTTCACATGTGGCCATTACTTCTCCCATATTAGCATCTACTATTGTCTTTCCAGTTTCACGGGAGGAGATCCTAACCCAATCAATAAATAATTAGAATAGAAAATATCCACATGGCTTGTTATCTCATTTTAACAATGAAAAAAAAATTTTAAAAAAAAAGTCTATAGTATAATAAAGTAATTGCATCTTACTCGCAAATAAGCTCTTGATGTTCAACTATATACTTCAAAAGTATCCGCAAAAGCAAACGTCTTTGCTTGAAGCTACTTTGGGCCCATTCTTTCTGTGCTGTCCTGGCTGAAGCAACACGCTCCTTGACCTAAGCATATAAATTAATACAATAAGTTTAGTCAACCACTTCAGTTTCCATCTCTACCTCTCATAATCTCGTTGAGCAATAAATCCTTCAATTGACTAATGCCAATATGAGAAATACTTATTTTGTACGGAGAAGACAACTATGGATGAACGAAAGGAAATTGAGGTAGTGTTCTTCCAGAGTAGGGAGTTAAATTAATCCTTCAACTACAATCAATTATCAAAAGATCGATAAAAATGTTTATGCCGGGGCATAGGTACTGCACTACAGCACATAAGGACTTGGTATGGACAGGAAGACAAATAAAGTTAACTGTGGTGAAATGATATGAAAAATCAATCGTCCATACCAAATTCAATAGAAATAATACAAGACAAATGCTTCAATTTTTAATGCTATTGCCAGCCAGCCAGCAATAGGTACCAACCTCATCTCGTGATAGTGCAGGGAAATAGCCCAGGTATTTCATGGTCGCAGGCTCATAACATTGGACTCTCTTGTCTTGCTGTTGTGTCTTTACTCTAGGAGGAATCTGTTCAGTAATCACCAACCAACATTACGGAATGAGATAGTTTGACCTTTGACAATTTGAAACAAAAATCCTTGCCTTCTGCAAGCTTTGATATGGGAGAACGAATGATTTGTATTAGCTAATAATAAATAAGGTTAGCCTGAACCATCAAATTTTTTAAAGTAGAACTTAAAAGGATTTATGATTTTCAAAGTCCTATTGGTAAGCTAGTAATTCGCTCAAACAAAGTCCAAGGTTATCCTCTCATAGAGTATAGTTCTAGAATAAAACCAAAGCCTGAGATGTAGTTCCCAAATAGAAGTTTCAACAGCTTACTCATATTCAAATAGCTCAGTGCTAAACAGTGCAGTTTATACCAAAGTAATAGAATCCCAACTTATAACAAAAACTTAATGCCGGAGATGAAGCAGCAATGTTCATCAAAACTATTATTGCTAAATCAATTGTAGAATCTCTGAAAGCACTGTAGTTCCGAAATAGATATTTCATAAACTTACTCGTGTTCATATAGCTTGGTACTAGACAGTGAAGTTTAAATAAAGTGCCGACTTATTACAAAAACAAAACAGGTGTAGTTTAAAGAACCAGAACCCAGGACGATAGTTCCAGAATATTAATTTCAAGAACTTACTCAAATTCACATATAGCTGAGTACTAAACAGTGTAGTTAATTGAAGTGAGAGAATGCGGACTTATTACCAAAAAAATAAAATAAAAAAAATAAAAAAAACAGAGTAATTTGAGGAATCAAAGCCTGAACAATAGATCCGGAATAGAAATTTCAATAACTTACTAGAATTCATATTGCTCGGTAGTAAACAGTGTAATTTTAATCAAAGTGAGAGAATGCGGACTTATTAGAAAAACTAAACAGTGTAGTTTAAAGAATCAAAGCGTGAGACAGTAGTTCCAGAATAGAAGTTTCAAGAACTTACTGATATTCATATTGCTCGGTAGTGAACAGTTTAGTTTATATCGAAGTTAGAGAATGCCGACTTATTACAAAAATAAACGCCGGACATGAAGAAGCAGCAATGTATCACCAAAACTATAAAGTATAACTAAAATCAATTGTAAAATCTCTGTAAATACTCACGTAGATGAAGCTATTCTCCTGCGTCTGATTCCCGTCGTCCATAACTGGAGGAATAGTAGTCGGAGTAAATGATAGGCCAGAAAATCAAAACGGAGGCATAAAACACACTCGTGTGCTTGTGTATTCAAAAGCATTGGAATGCAGAAAGAGAAGGAGAGAGAGATGAATTTGTCACCGTCAGATGCATCAACATCGATTGAAGGCACATTCGGAGGGATGAGCATCAACAGAAACCTACAGATCGCGTAAGCAAATCCTAGAACAATCAGAGTCCACCAAAATGCCATCGCGTTCACCGGAGAGGCGATCAAAATTATCGGAGGAAGTTCAGAATGCAGAGAAAATTGAAAGGAATCAGTACTCTCTCGCCTGTGTCTTTTATGCTCGATGATTTTCCCTCTTCTTACTTCCTTTTTCTTTTTTTCTTTCTTTTTTTTCGTTCCTCCTTCCGCTTCGAATATTTGTCCTTTTTTTTCTTTATAAATATAAATAATATTTGTCCAAAATTAAACTATAATAGTATTATTTTATTATTATTTAGGCCCCTTCTTTTTTTTTTTTAAGCAACATTAAGTTTTTTTTTTTTAATAACAAGCAACATTAAGGTTAAGCATGGAAGAAACTCCTCTCTTACATGTTTAAAACGTGAGGATGCAGTTCAGATTCATTGGGGAGCATTATTTTGAAGGTAATGTCTCAAAATTAAAAATATTTGAGTATATAAAATGTTTGGATATTTGGAATGTAATGTATAAAACTATTTTTTATTTTCTCTTTTGGTATGGATTCAAACTTACTACTACTTTTTTTAGTTAGAGATACTACGTTAACCATTAAATTACATAAAAAATTTATTTTTTAGCACCAACTTAAAAAAAGTGAGTATATGTCATTTATTGCTATACTTACGTTGGTTTAATTGGAGTAATAAATAAATTATCGATGGTTGAACACTTATTTTCGGTTAAATTAAGAAAATAATAATTAAATTAAACTGTAGATAATCTTTTTTCATGACATATAAAATCTAATTAAGACTATCACCTGTGGAAAAAATAGACTATGAAGAAAACCAACTATGTAGAATGCTGTTTTTTTTTTTTG